GGTACCGGCGCCAGCCCTGCTGCTCTGTGTCATCAGGCAGGGCTGTGCTCAGGGCCCTGCAGGCTCTGCCTGAATACTAATGCTGCGTGTTGGAGTCTTGCTCCACACCTCAGCCAGACACGTTCTAGGAGGTCTCTGTCTACCCTGGCTCCTCCAGCTCCACGTGCCTGAATGCTGCTGCTGTAGGAATTAATGTATGGAGAACTCCAGCACAGCCGATACCAGTTGAACTGGTACCTGAATGACTGCAGGAGAGCACTTACCTTCCTGTAGCCTCACCCAGTTGAACCTGGTCTTTGAAACCCCTGTGCTGACTGGGCTGGAAGAGTGGGATATGGCCTCGGTGTCAGGGCTGGTTGATGTCAGGGCTGGTTGATGTCAGGACATGGCTTGAGCTCTGGAGGACGGGAAGGATGCGCTGGCCTGGAGGGACAAGGTAGTGCTTTCTGTGCCTGCTGGTCTGAGCCCTGCCATGCACCTCTCCCCCTGCAGAACGGGTACACCCCCCTGCACATCGCTGCCAAGCAGAACCAGATGGAGGTGGCCAGGAGCTTGCTGCAGTACGGGGCTTCTGCAAACGCGGAGTCCATGCAGGGAGTCACCCCGCTGCATCTGGCATCCCAGGAGGGGCACGCGGACATGGTGGCACTGCTCTTCTCCAAACAAGCCAACGGCAACCTAGGCAACAAGGTGAGTTGTTGGCATGTCCTGCTTGAGGCAAACAAGCCGTGAGGAGCAGATGGTGACACTTCTTGCTGACAATGTGCTGGCCAAGAGCAGGTCGGTCACTTCGCCAGGCTGGGGACCTGAGTTAAGCCTAGTAGAGCTGCAGTGATGGCATTGCTGCTGTGCCGACACCTCCTCTCTTTGCAGAGTGGCCTCACTCCTCTCCATCTCGTGGCCCAAGAGGGACATGTGCTGGTTGCTGATGTTCTGGTGAAACACGGAGTCACAGTGGACTCAACGACCAGGGTAGAGTAGTGCATTGGCCGTGGCTGTGGTGAAAAATGGGGTGGGGGGGCAGAACTAGGCGTGCTATAGGAGGAACAATGCTTTCCTCTCTGTGCAAGTCTCCCCTCTCACAGGCATCCTTTCCATCTTGTCCATATCCTGGGGACCCTTCCTCTTCTCCCCCCCCCCACACACTTCCCTGGAACGATGATTCTTGCCTGTTCCCACAGCTCATCCCTGCACTCCTGGGCACAAAGTGGTGTTCTCCGCAGTGTGCCCTCTGCTCTGGTCCTGGGTCTTTTCCTGAAGCCCCATCCTTCATCCATAGGGGCTTGCCCATAGGATGAGCGTACCCAAGCCAGAAGTGCAGGAAGCACCACTTGATGGGCAGGCTGAGACCTGATTTCCTCTTTCAGATGGGCTATACTCCGTTGCACGTGGCCAGCCACTATGGGAACATCAAGCTGGTGAAGTTTTTGCTGCAGCATCAGGCTGATGTCAACGCCAAGACTAAGGTACAGAGATATCCTGTGCTCCGAGCACCCTTCTGCTCCGGGTGAGAGCATGAGGGTTGATGGGGAGGGCTTAATCTTCGTCCGTGTTTCCACTTCTCCCTCACAACATCATTCCTCTCTCCACGGCTGGAAGCTGCTACAGTCTAAGCTACAGCCCTGGGCAAGTGATGGGTTCGGTAGAGCCCTTTGCTTACCCCAGAAAGGAGGGAGCTGCCCTCGTGCTCCAGACATGAAGCACAATGCGAGGCTTTGGGGGGTCATTTCTGGGGCCGCAGACACCCACAGCC